GTAATAATATACTTTACAGTCACCTTATACATATACATTAACATGTGGCATTTATATTAAAATACATTTACATGCATTTACCCACATTAAATGCACAACTGCCCCCAAGGAGAAAAGGATCAAATCCAAGATGAGGATAATAATCGTGGGATTTATATGGACAGTAATGATGGAAAGGGTGAATACGATGCAAACGGAATTAATTCAAAAACAAGACAAAAAAGAGTTGAAAAATCTTTGGAAAGAGTAAAAATGGAACAGTTTATGTCTAAATTTGAAAGATCTCCTGCAAAAAAGGATTGTAAAAAGAAAAAAAATGGTACAGGTAGCGGTGAGGAATCACCTACACAATCACCTCAATCTGCATCATTACAACCATCACAACCAAGCAAAATCAAGAACACCATGTTCCACAGCAAGTTCCCGCTCAACAAGTACAACAGCTCCCATACCAACAACCAAAAAAACAATCAAAATACCAACAATCACAAAATCAACAACAACAACAGTATTCACAACACCCACAACAGATATTCACAACATTCACATTTACCAACACAGCATATTCAACAATTACAGCAATTTAATAAATATTCATCACCAATAACAATTGTATCTTCCACATCAACATCAACCACTCCTTCAATTTCCTTATCGTCTTCTCCCACACAATCACCAAAGTTTCAAGAGATACCATCATCACCAACCTACCCATTATCGTTCCCACCCTTGTCACCAGTTATTACATCTACTTTTTCACCATTACCACCAATATCTCCAACATTATCATCACATCAATCATTACCACCATTATTACCATTTTTATCATTATCACATAATTCAGAATCTACCAATTCCTAATAACTAATAGTAAATCAAATGTTAATACCCACCATTTTTGTAATATAAAAAAAAAAAAAAAAAAAAAAAAGAAAAAAAAAAAAAAACAAAAATATATTGTAAAGTTTTTCCCACACTCTTTTTTAATCATATCAAATAATTTAAAATTGTTTTTTCATACACAAACTATTTATTTAATAGCTTTTTATAATAATACTCTGCCCGTTCCACCCCTTTTCATTTTTGTTTCTTCTTCCAATTTAATACCTTTCATCTCCCTCTACCTCTACGACTATAAAAAAATCGGTTTATAAATAATAATAACAATAATAGCAATAATAATAATAGTAACATTCATTAATAATTTATTGTCAAATTTAACTATAAAGACTTTAAATATTCATTTTTCATATGATATAATTCACAATAAAAATTATTATATGATAACAGATAGCGCAATATTTATTTCAAAATTAATTAATAAATTTTTTTTTTTTAACTGTCACCTTTATATGACATATACTACAAATTATTTTTATTTTTCATATTTATTGGTTTTGTAATTTTTATTTATAATGTTGTGTTTTGATGTTGTAATTTTTGTCATGGGGGAATTTTATTTTTTGTGGGGTGTTAGTGAATTGGAAAAAAAAAAAATTAATCACTCACCAATAACCCACACATTTAAAAATAAACATTCATCTCAAGTTTTATTTATAGACTTTATTTATTTTGTTATTTTTTATTATTATAATTTTTATCAATTATAGTTATGTGTTTAGATCAAATTGTGGTTCCAATAATAAAACGCATTATAGTAACCAAAAGGTAAGTTTTTTTTCAACACCTTTTTAAAAATATAACAATAAAAACAAATTTAAAAAATAAAAAACACAAAAAAAAACACAAAAAAAAAAAACACAAAAAAAAAAGAAAAATAAATACACCTCTATTCATTTCAATGGGAAATTATTTAATCAAGAATAGAATTGGAAACAACAACAAGTGCAAACAACAATAATATTTATTTTTTAATTTATGGAAAAAACAAAAATACCAACTAACCCACACAATTATCAACTGTGGTTGGAATTGGGTTAATTATATTTTACTAAAAATAATATTTTATCACAAATATATCTCAGTATTAATAGAAAATATATATTTTTAATTAAATTAAATAAATAAAATATATAAATTTTTTTTTTTTTTAATTTTTTTTTAAAGCTTAAGATTGGTTTACCCCAAATTTTTTTTTATTTTTTTTTTTTAATAATAATAATAACTCTTTGTAAATAATTATTCTTCTTTTTTGCGTTTATTAGATAGTATTTGTTTATTTTCGATTTTTTTATATAAATAAATCATAAAACAAATCAAATTCATTTATTATAAATCATATATCATTATTGTAATAAAATGAACACAAATAATTATTATCAAACATACCCCGCTTATCATTTTAACCCAATAATTCAAACAGATTCATATGGGACTAATAGATTCCATGTTGAACAAAACCTACAACAAAGAGATCAAGTTTATTATAATCAATCAAGTTCCTCTCCATCGTTACCCTCTCCCCCACAAAATCACCCTCAAAACTATATTATCAATAATCAAATTAATAGTATCCCATACCAACAAAGTGGTATCAACATTAATAATGGATATAATATCCCACAATATTATAATGGAAATTACTATTATAATGGCTATCAATTTATAAATGAAGATAATAAATATTTTATTAATAATGGTCAATTTAATAGCAATCAAATAAACAATGAAAATATTAATATTAATAGTTTTAATAATATAAACACTGATAGTAATATTCATACAAACAGTAACAACACCTCCAATGATAATAGTAATCAAACAAATAAATCCAATAAACCAAACAGTGGTTTAATAACTATAAATAATAATAATAATAATAATAATAATAATAATAATAATAATAATAATAATAATAATAATAATAATAATAATAATAATAATAATAATAATAATAATAATAATAATAATAATAAAAATTGTAATGAAATAAAAATAGAAAATAAACCAATTAAAATAATTGATCTTTTAAACCATTCAGAAAAAGATTATAGTTTTGATGAATTTAATTTTGGAAATGGTCCACAAGAAATAAAAAATTCTCAAAGTCCAAAGGTTGAAAAAACAAAATTAATTGCCCCAGACGATGCTATTAGAAAAAAAAGAAAATATATAAAGAAAAATTACAAAGAAAGTGATGTCGTCATTACATATCCAAACAATCCACATCAAAATCCAAACCCACCCCCAACCATAAATTATGGCTTCAGCAATTATAATATTAATAGTGATATCAGTTATAATTTGAATAAATGTTTAAATAGCAATTTAAATAACAATTTAAATAACACTAATAACAATACCAATGGTTTTGTTTATCATAATTATGTTTCTAATAACAAAACAAATAACGCAAATACTTTTCGTCAGAAATTATTAGAGAAAATTAAAAATAAAGAGGCTAAAGATCAAACTAGTAAAGTAGAATCAATGCCAGATCTATATGCAAGAGAAAAGTTAAACTAATTCTAATACTCAGTGATCTTTAATTGGATGTCCTTTAAAAATTTTCCTCTTTTTTTTGTATAATTCTCAAAATAAATAAATATTATTTTTACTTTAAAATTTAAAAAAAACTCATCATAATCTTACTTATGATGAGATGTTTTATTAGTTAATATTTTAAAATTATTATTATATTGTTGTTATTTCTATTTATATTTTTATATTTTTTAATAAATTTATAAAGTTTGTTGTGGAGTTGGAAGACGAGAGAATTGATCGAAAATATAATGAAAATAGTCGATATCAGATTTAAAAATTTCTATATTATTATTTTTGGCAAAATCTTGGGCGTCAATAACTTGATTTATACATTGAATTATTTTATTTTCTGATTCCAAATTTTTTGCTTCTATAACCATTTTGTTATATTTATCCATAATATCTGCTATTTCAAAATCTTCAGCTAAATCGATAACCATGGTTGAGTTACTCTTTTCACCTGTGTCATCATGTTCATCATTATCACTATCTAAATCTATATATTCTCTATTATTTGAAGTTGCTGTACTATTGCTACTGTGTAGTTCTTCGACTCCATCTTCTTCATCACTAATAATTTCAATACGTTCATTTCTTGTTCTCTTTGAACCAATATTAATATCTTTTAGATGTTTTTTTGTTGGTTTAGCCACTGGCGACATTACAGAGTTATAACCATTATAATTTGAGTCATTTGCAAACCATGGTTGGTGATTAGATTGAAAATCATTAAACTCCTCTTCTTTTAAGTCTTCTTCCTCGTGACCATAGTCTTCACTAATATGAACGTATTGTCTTCCTCTAACCTGAGTTTTATTTGGCTAAAATAATAATATTAGTATTTGTTTTGTGAATAAAAAAATTACAATTTAATAAGTTTAAACCTACAGTATCTCTGATATATGTAATTGCTTTCTTTTTATTTGCCCTTTTGGTTGGTGTAAATTTCGCTTTAAGACCTAAAGATATACTTTCTTTTACTTGTTGCAATTGTTCTTCATTGTGATCAGTTTGGACTGATTCGGTAAATAGTAAATCATGGTCACTAACTCCAAATACCATCTTTAAATCATTAATAAATTTAAGATGTTCATCTAGATCTGGACTTGATTTTCTATTTTTTGAATGGAGTTCTTCCAATTGTTTTTGAGTAGTTGAAGTTGTTGTATCATCCAATGTGAAAAGTTCTTTTAATTCATTTGATGAAAAATATCTATGTTGGCCTTCAAGTTGATTGTTTAGCATTGTTTTCATTAGTGACCCCTTAAAAACCTGTTTTCTATAAATTTTTTCTTCACTATAAAGTAATTCATTAGTAAATGATTAAATGGTTTTATTTTAAAAAAAAAGTAACCTACATTGTACCACAAGTAATAAGTCTATATACAACAACATCTCTTTTTTGACCAATTCTATAGGCTCTATCCACAGCTTGGTTATCAATTGTATTCCACGATGGATCGACTATATAAAAAAAAAAGAAAAAAAACATTAGCATAGATTCTTATTTTTTTTAATATTATTGTAAAATTTTTATATTTACAAATCAAAACTCTATCAGCAGATGTTAAATTTAAACCTAAAGCACCAACTTGAATGGTCATAATAAAAGCAAAATATGAATGATCGGTATTATAAAGATCAATGATCTCTTGTCTTTTCTTTGTTGAACTAATTGAGCCATCAATTCTGAGATATTTTAATTTGAGAAAATCTAAAACACTTTCGAAATCATCTAGCATCTTAACGGATTGACTAAACATTAAAAGACGATGGCCATCGGTATGGAGATTTGGTAAAAGCTTTAAGAGTAATTGAAATTTGCCACTATTGGTAACCAATGTTTTAAGTGATAAATTGTCAATAACTTCATTTAAAAATTGCTTCATTTCACCCTCACCAGAAAGGGTTTTCATTTCTTCATTTAATAAGTGAGGATGATCACAAATCTTTTTCAATACTGTAAGGGCAGCTAATGGTGATGTTGTTTTATTTAATGCAAGTTTAACTTCGTCGGACTCTAAAAACATTTGATATAGTTTAATTTGGCTCTCTGCTAATTTACACCAGACAACAAAATCATTCTTTCTGGTTCTAATACCTCCACTTGCTCCAATTGACATTCTTTTCTTTGCTAAACTTTTGGCTGGTGTTAGTTTTAATGGTGTAATAGTAGTACCTCTAATTTTAGTTGGTGTAAGCTTGAATGTTTTTTTTGGTGTTTTGATTGCTGATGTTGTTGAATCTTCTTCTTCTTCTTCCTCCTCCTCCTCCTCTTCTGTTTTTTGATTATTATATACTATTTCTTGTGATGAGGGTTGTTTTGAAGACTCCTCATCTCCATTTTTAAAAACATCTTTTTTTTCTCTTCTTAAAAAGTGTGGGGCGATGATATCACGTAAATTTTGTGCGATTGCGGAACCTAGTGATTTTTGCTCTTGTGAACTGTCAACAGTATGGGATTTTAATATTGGCTTTTCAAAGTGAGTGGTAAAATTACGAATGCTGCCTAAAAGAGTGCCATCACAAACCCAATCGAAAAGAGCCCAAAGCTCACGAAGATTGTTTTGAATAGCAGTACCAGTCATAATAATTTTATGTTTTGCATTAAATTCCCGCATTGTTTTGCTTATTTGAGTTTTGGTTTCTTTGATTTTATGACCTTCATCTAAAATGATATAGTCCCAGACAAATGGCTTACTATTGTATTCTTTCATTAGTTTTAAGTTTGGAATTACCATACCGTAGGTCGTTATAATAATACCGCCTTGGTGCTTGACCTCTAACAATGAATTCTCCCTTTCTTTTGTATTGCTACCATGGAACACTTTGACAAGATATCTTGGTTTGAAACGGTTAAATTCTTTAAGCCAATGTTCAATTAGTGCCACTGGCATAACTAAAAGTGAATGCTTGATAAATTTTTGAGAGTGCATGCAATGCAAAAATGTGCAAATTTGCATTGTTTTACCTAAACCCATGTCATCACCTAAAATACCTCCAGAGTGGTTAACAAATAAATTCCATAGCCAGTTTATACCTTCTCTTTGATACCAAAATAATTGATTATATGTTTGATCTTCTATTTTTAAATATTTGCCTTCCTTGGTGCTGGTTGAGTTAATATAAATATTTTTTTCTTCATCTTTAACAAATCCATTTAACTGATCAACCAACTTTTCAACATCAATTGATTTATTATTATTGCTATTATCATTATTATCATCATTATTATTATTATTAATTTCTTCGTGTGATTTTTTTGTAGTTTTTTTATATGTTGGTTTTTTTATTGGTGTTTTAACTTTTTTATCTATTATAAATGAATCGTCATCACTGTCACCAATATCTTCTTTATCTGAATAGTTTTCTTCTTCTTCTTCTTCTTCTTCCTCTTCCTCTTCCTCTTCTTTATAACCACTTTCTTCATCATCTTCACTTTCTTCATCACTCTTTAAATCGATATTCTTTTTTAGTTTTAAATTGTTTAAAACTAAATTTTTAGTTGGCGGTAGAGGTTTTTTTGTAATTCTAGCTGGTCTTGCTTTAATTGGTGTTATAATTTCTTCTTCCTCTTCTTCATCATCATCTAAACTTGGAATACCTTTTTTTAATCTATTTGTATTTACTACTGGTTCCTCTTCTTCATCGAATAGGTCATCAATGTTTTCTTCAATTTTTAATTTATTTGTTTTATTTGTGATAGCTTGAATATTTTTAACATCTTTATTTTCATTTAAAAACTCGTCTGAACTTTCATCATCATCCACAATTTCAATTTTTTTTAATCTTGTTTTGGGTTTTGACATTATTATTGATTATTATTATTTGTTATTATTATTATTATTATTTATTATTATTATTATTAATTTTATTTATATATATATTACACCATTAACAAATAAGATAATTTAGTGCACTTTTAAAATAAAAGAAAAAAAAAAAATTTTAAAAAAAATAAAAAAAAAAAATTAAAATTTAATTTTCAAAAAAAATTAAAAAAAGTGGGCGGGAAAGTAATTGTAATAATTTTAAATTAAAAAAGAGAAATATAAATATTCATTTTCTTTATATTTTATCCTAAAATCATTGTCTATAGAAATCATTATAAAAACTATATAAATTTATTATATATAAAAAAAAAAATATTTGGGTACCATTTTGAAAATATGATGTGTTTTTTCAAACAATAATATTTTTTGAAATTGTATGCATTATTAAACCCACAACCCATATGTGTATACATCACCCCCAATAAAGTACCCTTTCCATAAATATAAATCATTTTTAATCTATGATGATATGTTTATCAATTTCATAATTGGAAAAAAAAAAGAAATTTAAAAATTGTATATAATATAATTATATAAATAAAAAAATTCAAAAAAAAAATATAAAAATTACTGTACACCCCACCCACTTATTTCCTTTTAAATTTAAAAAAATATTTTTTTATATTCATCACCCCCTCCTTATTTGTTTTTCTGTTTTTTTTTTTTTTTTTTTATGTTTTTTTATGTGGTTACGTAATAATTTAAAAATAAAAATATGATATGATGAATGAAAACTGTCAATATAGTTTTTTTCCTTTATTTGTTTTATATGTGATTAATATATTTTACTCCTCAAAACACATACACATATTAAAAAATTAATATACAATATTCTTTATTAAAAATTTAAAAAAAAAAAATAAAAACAAAAAAAAAAAAAAAGAATAAATATTTTATTTTTATTTTTATAATAGCATTGTTAGAAATAAAGAAAGAAAAAAGAAATTCTTTTAAAGTGTGTTTTATATATAGTTATTGTAAGTGCTGCCTATTAACCGTTTTTTTTTTTTTCTATTTTTTTTTTTTTTTTATTTTTTTATTTTTTTTATTTTTTATTTATTTACAATTTAAATCAACTTCATATGTGTTTGTATTTTTGACTTTCTTTTTTTATTCCTTTTGATATTATTTATTTCCCATTATCACCTGCTATTGTTATTGTATTGATTGTTATTGTTATTTTTTATTCTTTTTATTTATTTACACAAATTAATGCCACCAATTTAAAAAGGAATCATTACTTTATATATTTATTCTACCCTCTCCCCATTTTCAAATTATTTACATCATAATGCACAAAAAAAACTTACTCACACTCACACTCATATTCACATAAAATTTAAATCAAATTTCATCCCATATTGCATAGAGTTATTGCCACAATATAATAGATTTCAATTACCAATTTCATAAATCACATAAATAAAATTACCACAATATTATTAATAAAAACAATATTACTAATATGATAAATTATATACACAAAATAAAGACCAATATATAAAAAAACACCCCCACCCACCACACATTCCCACACAAATATATAAATTAATTAAAAACACACAAATAAAAAAAATACATATAAAAAAACCTAACACACGCACATTTTTTCATATATACAAAAGGAACTAATTAAACCACTTTAAGCAATACACAATAATATGATGTGTTTGTTATCATTTTGGTTATGTTTGTTTATATGATAGGTTATATAATATTAATTTTTATATAATTATATAATTAAATAATAAAAAAAAATTTCTTTTTTTTTTTTTAATATAAATAATAATTTT